GGATCTGACGACAGAAGAACGCCAAGAACTCTTGAATGAAGAACACCAAGAAACTCGGCGAGATATGTTTTCTTCTGAAAATGCGGACTTATGCCGATATCTGCTATTAAAGATCTTGTAAAGAAGTGGGATGATGTCAGAACAACGATCTTAAAATGGCATCCAAACCAGGTTGAGGCTTGGGGATTTCTACAATTGCAATGCTATTAATTACTTACGAAAAATCCTGAAGAAGAGAGAAAAGCAATCGACATTAGACAGATTCTTTAACCCTTTCAAACTGAAAAAACATGACTTATTAGTCATGTTTCTTTAGTTTAACGCAAGACTGTGTACGTATGTATTTTTATTATTTCATATAAATAAACGTAGTAAGAAAGTATAGCCTATATTTTTTATTTTGGGGAGTCTCCAGAACGAATTAATTAAATTCCCATTAAAACCTATGGTAAATCGATAATTGGTTAATGAACAATTCGGATAGCGAACAAAGTCTTGGAACGGATTATGTTCGTTAACCGATCACCCACTGTATTCCTACATTCCTTTGTAAATACCGGTTTGAGTTTAGAACATAACTTGATTTACAGTTTATTCAGAGATTATAGCACACTTGAAATGCCCATTTACGCGCGTATATTTGAAAATCCGAATATGGTCCATCCCCAATTATTCAAGATTTTTGATGCATCACCATAATATATTATATAAATGGTACAAAATCATACAAAAGACAAAGTTAAAAGTCATCAGTTAAAGCATTGCATAAGACTCAACACAAAAAAAAAAAAATTGGTAGAAGTTACATTCCGATTATTTGTTTATATATTTATAAACGCAAGTTAATTAAAAGTAACTTCTACGGGAAAAAATTGTCAGAAAATCTAAAAATAAAACTTGGATTCATCTTGTAGTCACAATACCAAAAAAAGCATCATCATCATCATCATCCAAAATAACACACACTATCATCTAAGATATTTATTTTGATGCTCATGCATCATCACCCTCACCATCAAAAATAATACACATTGTGTAATATTTATTTTGATGCTCAATCATCATCCTCAACATCCAAAGTAACACACATAATTGTTTAAGATATATTATTTTGAAATTTAATCATCCTCATCCTCGTCCTCCAAAATAATACACATCATTGTCTATGATATATTATTTTGATGCTCACTCATCATCCAAAATAATACACACTATCGTCTAAGATATTTATTTTGATGCTCATGTATCATCATCATCAAAAATAATACACATTGTGTAATATTTATTTTGATGCTCAATCATCATCCTCATCATCCAAAGTAATACACATAATTGTTTAAGATATATTTTAATGCTCAAGCATCATCATCATCATCAATGTACTTAGGACAAATAATGTACAGTGTATTATTATTATGAATGATATTTGGGTATTGTATAACACATTAAATAAAATTTCATTTAATACTGCTCTAATCATCCTGTAAACAACAAATTAATGATTTTACTCATGGAAATTAAGTGTATTTACCTAAATTAATTCAAAAAGGAAGGCACTAATTCCCCATAATGGCAGAAATTCTCAAGTTTAACCCATTAAAATCAATGTAAACAAATGAATAATTTATGGAGTTAAGAGTTATTATTGATTTCGCGTGACTTAATTTAAGCTTTTTTAAATATTTTTAATCAATTCGGACACCGAACAAACTCACCTGACTCTATTTAAACTTAATTAAAATCCTATCGCATCCAATCGAAGCCATTCGTAACGATAATGAAAACTTTTCATTTTGTGTGTTATTCATTCATTCAAAATGGAGGACTGCTTTTAGTCAAATGCGATTTTGGTCGTCTGTCACGCGACTTAACGAAATTATAACTTCTTCTTATAACTTATAAATTATTATTGTTTTATTGCGAGTATTATTAATCATAANCACAACCTGGTAATTCTTCCTTGAGTATTTGTTGATCCGACCCTACTAACCTTGTGGACGGGAGCAAACAGACCGTACTTCATTTGACACTCAAAATACCTAACAAAGATAACATGTTCTGAGATACAACTTGCTTAAATTCATCTTTCGTACAGACTGCAAGAGTTTCGTTAGAAGTATTTAACGAAGTTAAATCTATTCACTTATTTATCATTTAATTTACAAGTCAAGGACTAGATGTTCAAATGACCCTATATATCTAAAAATAGGTCAAAATTTATTAAGCATTCATCCTTAATTTGTTACTTAAATGGACAACTCTAGTAGAAGTGGGTTGTTAAATAATTAATTTTGATAAATGCATTAATTAAAAATAATTAATATTTAATGTACACACAATTATTATACGTTACATGAAAGTAGAAAAAATGTACTGCAATTAAATTTTTTAAAAGTAATATAAATCACAAAGTAGCCATTTTTACTTTATTTTGTCTTCTTCATGCACAAAAAATTTTAATTTTAGTTATTTTTTTCATTTGAAATACTCAAAACCTATCATTAAATTGATTAAATCTGAACAGGAAGTATGTTAATATATGGACACAAACTAAAAATCCCACTCGGGTGTTTCCTATCAATCACAAATTTAAATAAATAAATTATTCAATCAAAACATATTTACCTTTTCCCTGATACGGATCCGTCATTCTTGCCCACTGGTTCGTCTAATTCGACTCCGGCCCATTCTCCGGCAGCAAATTCTGTAGTCCCGAGATACCGGAGAACACCTGTTTTCGTGCCACTCGTAGCATTGACAACAACTCTGTCACCAACTCTGGGAGGAGAGCTTGTATTACCACTGACTGAAGCTGTCCTAGAACTGGGTGGAGTAACAGTTTTAATGCTGCCTGCAGGTGATGCAGTTGCTGCTAACTTGGTTGAAGACGAACTCACTGATTTGGAAACACCTAGTCCACTATTTGATTTTGCAGTTCCATTAACAACACTAACGTCCCCTTCGGCATCCGTAGGAGCGTGCGTGAGCCTGTGAAGGCGAGCGAACACACCTCTTTTGGGTTCGCACTGGAAATAACGAATGCCTCCAACCGAACCGTCATTTTTCCCCACGGGTTCGTCCAAAATGATTCCCGCCCATTCTCCAGGAGCAAACTGTGTCTCGCCAATGTACTTAATAAATCCCGGCTTTGTTCCATTCACCCAAATTCTATCGCCGATCTTGAATTGCTCCATGTTTGCAGGAGCATCACCAGCTTCTGAAAAATATATTAGAATTAATATCAAAAGTAATTTTATCAATAATGTAATGGCCTGACGTACAAAAATTTAAAGTACATACTTATAAAGCCATAGATTTATCATAGAAAATAATAATTATGAATTATATACATTTATATGGACACATTATAATTATTAAAAGAAATGCCAGTTAATTCACATTATTATATTTTTGTACAAATTTTAATAGTTACAGAACACTTAATAGATTAATTAACAATATTAGTAATACTTATATTAATTACACAACGATCTTAGTTCATACAATTAGTGACGGACAGACATACAAAATGTGCAAAGAAAAACATACAAAGTGCATTCGGTTTGACAGTTTACTTTATTTCATCATGCTTTACTCAGAATCGAACACGGCATCAAGAATTTTAACAGGAAGTGAAAATATTTGCATATAGAGTGCAGAACAAACAAGGAACAAGACAATATTTACATATATACAGCGATAACGAGTGCAAGGATAAATGTACAAAAGACAGACACAGCTTTTAACATCTATGTACATATAAATCCGTACACGCGAAGTGATTAGATTTATATAGTTGTTTTTACAAAAGTTAAAGAACACAGAGAGTTTTTTAATGAATAAAACATGCAAATATGTTATAAGAGAGGCACACCAGTACATAAAATTGCAGTATTTTTCTGCGTAATGAAAACATTTGTTATACATTGAAAAAAAAAAAACTACATAAATTTACGTTTCCGTAAAGACGTTCCAACTTTTAGAATTGATTACTCGGTTGGCCTGGAGTGCAATGCATGCATACTAAAGAAGAAATGTCAACTAGACCCACCCTGTCCATATCTAATAACTCTCCCTCCTAGAATTTGAGGGGAGTTTCTCGGAATAATGCAAATGTGGTGACATTTCGTTTCCGTTAATCTCTAATTTAAAGCAAAATAAACAGTTTTGATGCCAATCTATCCGAGAAACCGACGATTTTCTTCTCAGTTGGCCTGTTATATACCAAAATCGGTCATGGCGCGACGCCAACGTTTATCACGTGTTTGCGTCGCCTACGTACGATAAATAACGCTTAAAAAATAATAATGGAGGGAGAATCGCGTTAATTAAATACGCACCTGCTAGAATAGGCATTGCAGAATCCGTTCCGAAATTCGTATAAATCGCAAAAATCGAGATCGGATCGTCGATAACCTACGAAAAGTTTAACGGCGCGAGCCGTTGCGCGCCGATCGATGCGTGGCGCGGAATGATGATTAAAACTTTGGAAACACTAAAATTACCTTTAATATATTGTTACTAAAATTACCTTTCGTAAAAACATATACAGTATCTATATATTTATATATATTATCCTTCGCTCTATTGTTAACGAATGCGAAAATGTATCGGTTATGGGCGACGATTTGGGAAGGGTTCAAAATTCGTCGATACGTGGGCGCGATTATGAAAGAGAAACAGGTATCGAGGAGGCGATACCCGAGAAAATATTATTAAATTATTCAAGTACGCCTCACAAGGCGAAGAGATTTAATTTTTGGATCGGTTTCGTACTTACTGGTTACCTGACGATAGAATTTAATATAACAGCCTTACGACGCAACCGATTCAACAGGTGGGACGATCGTCTCGTCCCACACCGAAATCCATAAACCAATAGATTTACGATCGCGCGTATCGTCGAAATTCGTCTCGGCGAGAGCCGCGTCACACCTGAATCTTAAATAATGAAAATTCTCCATTTACGCTCGAAAATTAAACAAAATCGAAACGCCGACGATAAATTAAATCGTTTCGAATTCGTTTAAGTTGTAAAAGTTAACTTAAAAAATAAAATAAAATAAAATAAAAAATATGCGATCGGCTTCGGACGCCGCGCGCCGGATGCGATGCGACGCGAGGCGCAAAATATTTTTTGCATCTAAGATGTTGCTAGAAACGTGGAGCTCCTTTTAAATCCTCTGTACTGGAAAAACAAAAAAAAACAAAAAAAAAAAAAAATTTACTTACCGGACTTGGTGTCGGCTGCAGCTTCGGCCTGTGCGGGTACATGGGGCGTCGATTTGTTAATCAGTGGCAACGAAGTTGGTTTATTAATTTTATTGGGTGCTCGGAGACCCGAACTTTTCTGATTCATCCCGATAACTTTCTATCTAATAGACATATCTGAAAATCAGAATAACTTCTACGTAACAATTCCATAACAAGAAAATCCTCGGGCGAGGCGAGGGAAGGTTCGAAATTTGACAATTTATTAAGTTAAAATGTGCTTCTACAACTCCGAAACGCGTGTCTCGTGGCACGGAAACGTGACATTGAACTACGCCGCTCCTCCCACACTTAAAGAACCTTCGACCTAATTTTTTACACTCTAAATAACGGGCAGGATCTAAAAATACACATGGTATCCTTCTTTATTTTCCCCCTTCCTCTCAATTATAAAATATCGTGATGTAATCTTTTTATTCTTTTTTTTTACCGGCGACTTGGTGTGTGGAGCATCTTCAAGTTTATTTTGGTCGAAGGTATTTTTACGACCGCTGGAGCCGTGCCAGAGTAGAGAGGAAGACGTAGTAAGGATGTGTTAATCAACTACATCCATCATATATATTGAATGAGTGTTTTAACAATAGTTCCTCTTTAACACAAAGTAAAGTTTATGATTGGAATTGATTTCGGAGACAATACAAATTCTGCAGTTTTTTTAATGTTCTTGCTCGGGATTCTAGATTTGCGATGAGGTTTTAAGTCTGAAAAGTTCCATTTAAACTGATTTAAATAACAAGTGAAGTGAAGGATTTAATTATAAAAAGATAGAGTGGTCATTTTTTTAGTAGTAAAAAGATGAGATCTTTATATTATAATGAACAGAAATTAATGATTTTAATGCTTAACTTTTATTAAAGTTTCTGTCTTTATGGTTACTTTTAATTACGTTCTATTACAAAGGCTATAAAACAATGCATATGTTTTAGTATTTTACAATCCAACCTGTGTACTACAGTATTTTATCAGATAAAATGTATGCAATACAGATCTAGAGTTCGGCATTCGGAGAACAATTACAGTTGAATAAAATACAGCATTTAATCTGTACCTGCAAACTGTTGTATCGAATTTCCAACAAGGATATTAACAAGTTACATAATCTAACATCGGTTTACAAATTGGCCTATTTAATGCTAATCCGACATAGCTATTGTGAACATTCAACTGAACGTGACGTATACGGTACAATTTTTTAAAAAATTCCTTATCGTATCATCACATAATATCAGTTACTAATCTTACTTATCGGTGCTGATTTATCAAAATCACTCATATATATTTGTACTCCTGACTGATTTACTCATACCAATTGTATGCCTGCCATCTTTATTATATAAAGATTATTCCTAATGATTAAAGAGATGAATTGAGCAAATTTACTTTATGTTAATGACGATAAACTTTGCAATTTTATTCATAACTAGTAATTCATTTTTTTTTGTACTCATAGAAAATAAAACATGCTAAAACGTTACAAGATGTAAGGTAAACATTATCAAGATGAATGATCTGAAGATGATAGCTGATCTCATTTGTCTTCCACAGACTTTATTTTAAGAAATGTTTTTAAAATTAAATATATTTAAAAAATGATGATATAAATTAAAGTATATTGATTGTGTAATATTAAGCTAAAACATTATAATTGCTATATATTAAAGTATGTTATTAAAATATAACACAAAAATAGTGTTCTATTTACATCCTACAAAGTACATTGTCATTTTTCTCTATAACAAACACTGAATCGTCAATAGTTTATTTGACAATAAATATCATTAACACAAATTAAATAACATTTTTTTCCTCAAAAGAATGTTAAAAACAAAACAAAAAAAAATTGTTTCTCTGAATGTATAATGATCGTCAAAATTTTAAAAAATAATGGAGTGTTAAAATTTACTATTCACTTTTAAATACCGTAATTTTCCGACATTTTGATTACTTCTCTTAACCGTAACAAGCATTTTGTTTTTTAAATTACAAGAACCCCTTATTTTTTTTTTATCTACGGTAGATTTAACTCTGTCGACAAAAGGACAATTGGGTGACGAAGGGTGGGACCCGAAATTTGGATTGTAATATGCACAAAAATTTCTGAAGATTCAAATGGGACTTGAACTTGGATCCCTTGAATGACAGATAAGTCTCTACTGTCAACCAGTAAATGAATGTTTAATAAATACTTTAGTATTTTCATTATCGCAAAATCAATTTATATAATCATCATAATGACTTATAGCTTGATTATAAGACCAGAAAATAGCTTTCAATTACGTATTTCGTGCTTGCATTACCAAATTAAATTATTACAATACAAATATATTCACCTGCATATTTTTTTAATAGAAACGACAATTTTCCTACAATTAACAATTATTTTTTAAATTAAATCCATTATAATTTACTATTATATAAGTTTTTCAATGAAAACATAATTAGCATAAAAATAATGTTAGATTATGTAGAATTATTTAAATTTATTCTACTTACTAAATAACAATTCACTATCTTTACATGACAAACAAACTTTATGATTACCGTTAATGATTTATAACTTAATACGGTTAAAACTATAAAATTTATAATTTAAACTTACGATTTACATAATATACGATTTCCAATACTTAAACCGAACAAAGAATCGTACAATATAAATTTAAAGCTCAATCTTTCTACTTCCTTTGTAGCTGAGGGTGAAGGTCAACATCTGAATGTAATAAGTCAATAACTTACCATTCATTTTCAATTTTATGAAAAATAGATAACACCATTTTTATGAATTTATAAATATGTTAAAATATCAATCCTTTTATAACATGAATTTAATATATTTTACAGTCTTACAAATGGAGCACACCAGTATAATGCTGAATAAAACTCCACATTCTCTCGGTTAAAATGTGAATTACGTAAAAGAATTCTATGCATTTTTCTATTGAAAATTAATTATTTTATGTTACATTTCAAAATGGTTAGTGTAATTTTAACTTTCCTAAACAAGTAAATAATTTGTGAAAGAAATTAAACCAATAAAATCCTTTAACTGCTTATTGTAAATATAAAAAATACGAAACTCTGAATGAATGCAATGAAATGATGTCTGGAAATTATAAAATTTGAGATAAAAAAATGTATAAAGTAATCAAAAACATTTAATTCTTATGGCATTACAGGCATTAAAATAACCTTTTTCCTATGCCTATTGTAGATTTGGTTAGGCCCACAATAGGGCAGCCAGGTGATAGGACTCATTGTGTGGCTACACTGTGGTGAAAATGTATGATTTAGCCAATTTGGACTCAAATTCAGGTCCAGAATGACAGGCCGATGCATTAACTATTGGCCGTTGCTACATACTAACGAGTAAAGAACAAGTAACAATATCAAATGTAATACTTAATAACAATTATATGACAGAAAATCTTAAATTAGTACACTTTTCATCTCTGAAAACAATAATAAAACTTGAATCCCCAGCTGATAAAACTGTTGATTTTGTTAGAACATTAATAATAAATTTACATTTATCGGGCATATCAAAGAACAATGTCAAGAATAATACATGAAACTGTCAAAAATTCAGACATAAAAAATCCAGATTTCTTCACCAAAAAATGGATTTAAACCCTTTTCAATGGTAACTTCATTGTTGTTGCCATTCCAACATTCATTTGGAATTCATAATTTTTTAATTTTGAAATTATAATTAGTATAATTTTTGTTTACATATAGTTTAAATATTCTGTAAATTATATCTTTGTAAGTACAGTGGGTGATCGGTTAACGAACAGATCGGACAACAAACAAATCGGATAACGAACACTTTCGCGAAAGATTTTTATGTTCGGACAACGAACACATGATCGGATAACGAACATCCCACAGAACAAACAAGAAGAAGCGATGTAAAATAACAAATACCAATTGGACTTTCCTTGTCTTCGGGCAACAATTCAAAACTTTTCGGAGTGTAGGAGACGTCGACATCGACGCTCAAGCCGGTATATACCGATCGGATAGTATTCTTCCGAACTTTAAAACTCTCCCTTATAATTCCAGCCTATTATTTTTATGACAAAAGAATTCTTTTATGTATTTGCGAGACTGTCGGGTAGGCACTCGTTAAGTTTTGCGTCTTTTTTTTTTTGTAAGGTGAGAGTATAATAGCAAAGGTAAAGAGTGGGCAGAAGATACCTAATGTTGCTGGGCAGTATGGCGTGAACAGGTCTACAGTAGGCCGCAGTTCATTTTTTTAAGAAAAATACTGTATAATCAAGAAGACTCAAGCAGCTAAAGGAGTAACAAAAATCACATATGAGAAATAAAGAACATCGAAGAGTTCGTAATGGAACCTTAAACGGATCTGACGACAGAAGAACGCCAAGAACTCTTGAATGAAGAACACCAAGAAACTCGGGGAGATATGTTTTCTTCTGAAAATGCGGACTTATGCCGATATCTGCTATTAAAGATCTTGTAAAGAAGTGGGATGATGTCAGAACAACGATCTTAAAATGGCATCCAAACCAGGTTGAGGCTTGGGGATTTCTACAATTGCAATGCTATTAATTACTTACGAAAAATCCTGAAGAAGAGAGAAAAGCAATCGACATTAGACAGATTCTTTAACCCTTTCAAACTGAAAAAACATGACTTATTAGTCATGTTTCTTTAGTTTAACGCAAGACTGTGTACGTATGTATTTTTATTATTTCATATAAATAAACGTAGTAAGAAAGTATAGCCTATATTTTTTATTTTGGGGAGTCTCCAGAACGAATTAATTAAATTCCCATTAAAACCTATGGTAAATCGATAATTGGTTAATGAACAATTCGGATAGCGAACAAAGTCTTGGAACGGATTATGTTCGTTAACCGATCACCCACTGTATTCCTACATTCCTTTGTAAATACCGGTTTGAGTTTAGAACATAACTTGATTTACAGTTTATTCAGAGATTATAGCACACTTGAAATGCCCATTTACGCGCGTATATTTGAAAATCCGAATATGGTCCATCCCCAATTATTCAAGATTTTTGATGCATCACCATAATATATTATATAAATGGTACAAAATCATACAAAAGACAAAGTTAAAAGTCATCAGTTAAAGCATTGCATAAGACTCAACACAAAAAAAAAAAAATTGGTAGAAGTTACATTCCGATTATTTGTTTATATATTTATAAACGCAAGTTAATTAAAAGTAACTTCTACGGGAAAAAATTGTCAGAAAATCTAAAAATAAAACTTGGATTCATCTTGTAGTCACAATACCAAAAAAAGCATCATCATCATCATCATCCAAAATAACACACACTATCATCTAAGATATTTATTTTGATGCTCATGCATCATCACCCTCACCATCAAAAATAATACACATTGTGTAATATTTATTTTGATGCTCAATCATCATCCTCAACATCCAAAGTAACACACATAATTGTTTAAGATATATTATTTTGAAATTTAATCATCCTCATCCTCGTCCTCCAAAATAATACACATCATTGTCTATGATATATTATTTTGATGCTCACTCATCATCCAAAATAATACACACTATCGTCTAAGATATTTATTTTGATGCTCATGTATCATCATCATCAAAAATAATACACATTGTGTAATATTTATTTTGATGCTCAATCATCATCCTCATCATCCAAAGTAATACACATAATTGTTTAAGATATATTTTAATGCTCAAGCATCATCATCATCATCAATGTACTTAGGACAAATAATGTACAGTGTATTATTATTATGAATGATATTTGGGTATTGTATAACACATTAAATAAAATTTCATTTAATACTGCTCTAATCATCCTGTAAACAACAAATTAATGATTTTACTCATGGAAATTAAGTGTATTTACCTAAATTAATTCAAAAAGGAAGGCACTAATTCCCCATAATGGCAGAAATTCTCAAGTTTAACCCATTAAAATCAATGTAAACAAATGAATAATTTATGGAGTTAAGAGTTATTATTGATTTCGCGTGACTTAATTTAAGCTTTTTTAAATATTTTTAATCAATTCGGACACCGAACAAACTCACCTGACTCTATTTAAACTTAATTAAAATCCTATCGCATCCAATCGAAGCCATTCGTAACGATAATGAAAACTTTTCATTTTGTGTGTTATTCATTCATTCAAAATGGAGGACTGCTTTTAGTCAAATGCGATTTTGGTCGTCTGTCACGCGACTTAACGAAATTTTAACTTCTTCTTATAACTTATAAATTATTATTGTTTTATTGCGAGTATTATTAATCATAAATTTGCGCTTTAAAAATTATTAATGTTATTTTTCTAAAATTTATTAATTGGCGGCGTGGCGTCACTTCCGGCGTAGTATGTTTTGTTGCTATGGTTACCTAATTGTTTCAAAGTTTGGACGCCATTTTTGTTTTGTTTGATGGCTCAAATGCGATTTTGATCGTCTGTCACGCGACTGAACGAAATTTTAACGTTTTCTTACAATTTATAAATTATTATTTCATTCTAAATGTTACTAATTCTAATTTTGCGCGTTAAAAATTATTACTGTTATTATTATTATTATTATTTTTAATTTATTAATCGCGGCGTGGCGCCACTTCGAGTGTAGTGTGTTTTGTCGCTATGGTCAGAGTCGATAGATAAACTGGTCCTTGCGCTATGCTCTTAATATGTCGGATTGCCGATAGCTGGCATTACAGTCGCTCTACGGCGAGAAGAACTAAATAAATTTGCATTTTACTGTTTTATTTTATTGCATATGTATGACAATATAATTAGGTAAACTATAGGTTATTTAAATAGCCACAGAAATTTAATTTAATTAACTTTAACACTACATAAAGTGTGCTATACAGTTTTACTTGATTCAGTATAGTAAGAAATAGTATTTGGAATGAAATAGTTTTGTATTTTTCACATGAGAAATTACATTTCTTATGACACTAACATTGGCTCTACATAGTTTGGTAATTTATATAATATTCTGCACTATCAAAAGTAGAACATGAATGATTTATTTATGGCGCCTACTACACCTGCCCTTTGTTTATATAGACCTAAGACAACATTAATGTGTCTTTCTTTTAGACTCCATGTCGTCACTCATCACTATCAATACTCTCTGAACTCTTGCCATCCTACATTTACCTATTTTGTCAACCTCTAACTCATCATTCTCTAATCATCTCTAAGTTATTATGTGCCTGTAAATATGTTGAATATGTTGTCTAAATAGTTGAAATTTCCTCTAACAACATACATACGCGAAAATAGTAGCGAGCGATATAGTTCTCGTAAATGAAAACCACGAACGAGCGAGAAATCTCGCTAGCGAGAAAGAATTTTTGGCTCTCGCAAATATGTAACGGATTCGATATTTATGGCGACTCATCTCTTCTGGCCGAATATGCGCTTTCGCACAAGATTAGAAAATGGCTGTTTCTCATATCTGTAATATTATATATATCGTGTGTGCGTGTGTAAAATGTAACTTCTAACCCCTAAACAGATGTAAATTTCCACTGAAAACTGAAACAAGTTCCCCAAAATAATTTTGCTCCGGGTACAGTACAATGCATATCGAAAAAAATATGACATTAAGAGAGCCTTTAATTAAATAAAGCCTATTGTGGGGATGACCGAATTCACAATTCGCGTGCATTACGATATCGCAATAGTTCGTGACGCTCTTGTTACGTCACGATAATTTCATTGGCTGCAACAATAACGTATATTGTTTTGTAAGAAAAGAAATATACGTTTGTATTATTCTAACAATTCTAAATCTACTGCGAAGCGTGTTACAATGCAGCTTTCTCTTCCAGATGCGACAAATGTGGCCAAATATTTCGAGCAGGTAAAGAAACACTTGTATATTCTCGTAATTTAAAATCGTCATAAAAATATATTTTAAATTTAATTTTTAGGTACAAAAATGTTAACGAACCGAGACAAGCAATGGCACAAAGAGTGCTAACCTGGTAGGCAACGTAGGCTTCGTTCAAATAGGTAACGACATACATTGCAACACCTGTTACCAACAAAAGTTCAGTCCATCTTGCTTCGAGTGCCATCAAATTGTTTATCCTCATAACAAAATTTAAATGAATTACAATAGTGGCGGGCTGTGAACGGATCACGTATTTGTAAAATCTAAGTGACTCGTACAACATGAAATTCATATAACACGGAATTATCTACAGTGTTATAGGGGGTCTACTGTATTTCAATAGAACTAAAATAATAATAATCTTTAAGTAAATGTTTCTCGGTAGTAATTAGCGATTAATTAGTAATTTATTTAAAATTACTCAAAATTCCTGGTTTTTCCCCCCCTTACAGTAAATACAAGATCTGACAGGAATATAAATAGACGATTAAGTAACTCTTGGTTTATATTTGTACATAATTAATGGGGTAAATGTTTCCATAATCTCAAAATCTACAAGAATTTTCATTTAGAGGAGCTTCTTCGATGTTTCTTTTTTACATACAATGGACAGTGTTTCTATGCATGAGAATACTTGGGCCTTACAATGCATGGGGGGAATCCAGTACAATTAGAACTGCTCACACTCCATATTTAATGTGCAGTAATTGACTTTTGGCATTGTGAAATTTAACTCCACTTCTACAGTTAAAGATAGAAAAAACGGTTATTGAGACTGCATTATAGACAATTGTCGATATCTAAAATGCGGATGAAGCATCTACCAACATAGAAATTTTGCGGCCTCTCTTCATATAGTTGTAAATCAAATGTAAGATATGACCCATTGTACTTTAGTATTAAAAAAAATAAAAATGTGTTAACATGTGCATTACCTGGTAAAGCAACTTTCATACAGCTAGACAAGCAAATCAATGGCACAGTTGGTTTCAAATGAATTTACAATTGAGCGAGCACAGAAAGTTGCAAACATTTTCACGGTGAATTGGATTTCATACAAAAATTTCCAATTTCTGACTTTAAAATCTCGGTATTTCACTTAATTTATGTGAGCGTCTCTTTCCTACAAGTGTGCACTCATTCGGAATTGTTAAAAAGAATCCCGAGATCAAACTGAATCGAGGAATTCAGATCTAAAGTAAATTTCTTTTCAGAATAAATGTACAAATAAAAACTGATTTTCCTGGTGTATACTCAATGTAAGAGATGTCGCGAGTTAAACACTCGAATTAAATGTGCAAGTGAGAGTGTAGCATGCAACATGGATGAGGTTACATGAAACAAAGTGTATTAAGTCAAAAGGGTAAAAGAATGTATTAAATTCTTCCATTTTACATCAAATACTGCGAGTGTCCTACTCAAAATCAGTGATTGAAGAAGACAAATTTGCTTTTTCGAATTGTGCTTTTATTTCTTTGAAATCGGTCTCTACAGAATAAAGGAAATAATTTTTAAGTTGATTCTCTGTTTTGGAGATTGATCTATATTTATACAAAGAATGAATACACTTTGAATTCACTGATGCCGGGGAATGATCCGTGTGGATCATAAGGGGGAAGGAAGGAAAAAAAAGAAAAAAAAGGCACAATCTTGCCAACAGGCATTAAAAAATAAAACATCTACCAAAAAAAAACACAAATAATATTGCTTGTTTTTTCCAATAACATTAAAAGAAATTCAAAATAATGTTTGTCATCACAGTTTACAATATTTACAATAGCTTGGCGCAACTGAGTGGCGTAAAGTCTGGTGCAAGCAGAAAAGAAATTATGTATTTTAAATCTTGTTCTCAATGTAACTTCGATCTTTGGCAAAACTAATTTAAATCACATGTTCCTTCTCTTTGAAAAAGCAGATTTTTCTCAGCAAACGGCGAAATTTATGACAGAGGAAAACATTAACTTTTTTAAACCTGACATCGAAACGAACAAATCATTGCCTGCGATTCATCGAAGTGCTGAAAAGCAGAGTTTTTCTTCCCTTTTTCTTCTTAGTTTCCTGATTTTCTGAAATAAATAGCAAAAAGTTCAAATGCAAGATCATGTAAAATTAAGAGGAAAAAAAAAGGAAATACTGTTACCTGTAATGGGATTATGTTGATTTAAGTTATCCAGAGCGGCTTGAATCGCGTCGCCAATTGACTGGCGGTGGAGTACGGGAACTGGTTCATAATAATCTTCTTCGGAGTTCGGCGTGCTTACGGTCGACTTCTGAGTTTCCAATTTATTTTGATCCTTTGGAGGGCTGCACGAAACAGATTGCGGCTTGGTTTTCCCCTCTCGTAGCATCTGAAATTAAATTTTCATCAGTAAAACTTAACCTAAACATCTGTAAAGATACTAATTTACAATACCTGTGCAAATGAAGCTGGCTGATTATCATTTTTGACTGCTTGAATGTCGTTGGTTTTCTTATCGGTAAGAAACGTCTCTGAAGTTATAAATAAATTCTTTTCAATTAAAGTTACTCTTTTAAAAATTAATTAATCCCAGCAAAATGATCAATTAACGTAATATACCGCTTGCTAGAAGTTGTTCTGCCGAAAGATTTTCAGGTGCAGAGACTGAAAGCGGAGGATCATCGCTTGTGCAAAGATTTACAGAACTTGTACTTGTACTGCTGCAAGATGGAAAATGACTCATGCTATCCAAATGATATTTAACTCCGGGAACTGATAATTAAAAAAAAAATTTCTTTTAACTCACTGATCAATTAAATGTATAAATAAAATGTTAATTGAAATTTTTGCATGCACATTCAAATTTTGATATAGTACCATTGTTTAGTGCCATCTTTAAATTTAATCTAACTGAAATACCTCAAACAATAAGCAATTTTATATACACGGTCTTCCAAAATGAATATTAATTTTAAATTACTGTAATTATTACCCCAAAAGTATGCCACGTACATCAACCTATAGAGTAACCACCTGTTTCCAAACTGCATTTAAATGTCTGGTCTACTACTTCTAAGAAGCGTCGTAAACAAAAATAGTGACTTCGCAATAGAAGGGTTTTGTGCTCTCCTGGAACTAGCAACATTGCAAAAGAATGTCTCTTAGAGACCTTATCTACACTATGATACATCTGAAAAATTAAATTGGTAACTGTTCAAACTGGACAACATGAAAACTACCTTTCTGAAGACAAGACTGTGAAGTTTCACAATGATCAATTTCTATGTCATAGAAAATATTTGATTAATGAACAAACAAATAAAAACTTATTGGGTATACAGCAAAATAACTCCCTACGCTCAAATGTTAATAAATATTTAAATCAAATATAAAATTTTATACAAATTCTGGCCATTTGATGTAATCAATAATAATCATAATGCAAATCAAGTCATTATAGCCAAGTGTTTGGAAGCAACTTAAACTAGTTTTTGAAATAATTTTCAAAATTTTTAAACAAATATAAATAAACTTGGTTTGAAATCACAGTAAAAAAATCACTATATTTATTCCTTTTTTTATACGTGCAAGTGCGATTTCAATTGAAACGGCCAATAATCTTGTCAACTAACATCACTTTTCAGTTAATACAAAAAAATCCTAGTGAAGTTAGGCGTGTATGTCCTATCCTTTATGTATGTACCGTATGTACATGTGATCTATCATAGATTCACAAATAATAATAATAAACCTCTCACTAAATCTTGAACCTTAAAGTATTGGAAAAATAATGTTTCGTATAAGTTGTTTCGATCAACTGAAACATGTATGTATATGTAATTATATTACGTATGCTCACTAACATTTTCCAAGTCTCTTGTTTTCTTCTCTTTCTATGTGTCTTTCTCGGCGGCGTTCTTCTTTTGCTTTACGTTTACGCATTAAATCACGTTTGTTTAATTCATCTACAAGTACAAAATAAAAAGAAAAAAGTCAAGTTTAGTAAATATATTCCAAATTAAATAACAATATATTACTACTATTCATTTTACCTGCAAAAGAATCAAATACTTCAGGAGAAATAAGTGGTTTCATCTGCAATTCTACAATTTGGAATTCACAAGTCAGAGGTAGATGACATAAATATCGCAGACGGTGACGAAGTAACTAAAAATAACCATGTCTGTTTAAAAACAATAATTTTTTTTAAATATTAAATTTTAAGTAATTTTAAATCTCTACCTCATTCATTGATACGCCTTCTAATTCAACTACTTTGGCTGTAATTTCGTGAGGACAGAATTCTAAACTGCCATAATCTCGTACGAGCATTTGTACGTTAAGAGCATTTAAATAAATATGTTGGCCGTCGATTGCTGTTATTTGAATAACATTTAAATATTTGTAAACATTTAATTCATCCAAAACCAAAGTTGATACAAGTTTAAGATAGTTACCCTGATAAAAATAATAATAATCTTTTCCTTGGTTTTTTACTTGTTTTTGCAAATTATTTTTGGGGGAACTTGAAGGTATTGCAGAAGTTTCTGAAAAATTTATATCTGAAGTTACGTTTTCGTCAACGGAGCTGCTTGTCTGTTCTTCATTTAAAGCTGAAGCTGTCGAAATAAACTTAGATATTACATTACGGAAAGTTTTTATCATTTTGAGAAACTCATTCACTCACAATATTTGTTAGCATTTTCAGATCGTGAATAATAATTATCTTCATGTTCTTCATCACCAAAAGGATCCATCATAGTTTCAATCTACAAAAATAAATTCTTAAATATAAGGAAGAAAAATTTGATCTTCAAATGTGTCTTTTGAGTAAATATACATGAATATTTAAAATTAAACCATTTCTGTTTCTAATTTATAGAACAAATACAATTCTTTAAGTTAGGGATCGTTACCTGAAGAAGAACCGTAACGGTTCGAAAACGTTTGTAACTGTTGTAGAGTGTGATGATACGTGCACCGGTAAAAAGGTTTATAGATACGAGTTGGATAACTTTAAAAATGTTCAACAAAATGTAAAAATATATAGAAGAAACTAAAACGTCTTCACACTTCATATCAGATCACCAGGAATAGAGTATTCCTATACAGAGACAATCTTTTATTAGATGCTGCATCTCTAAAATTATGTAAAACAGTTAAAAATATCCTTTTGTGATGAGCCAATAATTAAAAAAAAAAAAAAAACATAGTTTCAGTAAAACATGGAAGTATGAAGACTTTAGTTTCTTTACATTTTTTTAAATGTAAAAATACAGTCTGCCATTTTAATTGAAACTGAAAATTTATTCCTGATTTTATGGGATCCTTAACTGTAGACAGATAATGATAAAGCAAGATATTTTATAGAGGATGAAAACATGTTAAAATAGTCTAAATTTAGAATTATTCTTTGAGGAAATTATTCTCTTTAATGTATAATTAAATACAGTATTTGGAGTCATTTTATTATCCTTAAATACCAAAACCATTACAATCGTATTAATCAGTTGAACATTTTGATAATGAACTAACCAACACTACTATTGTGTTAATTATAACAGAGTAAAACAGGAAATGATTATTTAGAATGACTTAAAAATAATGGATTTATATACAAACTGTGGATGTCACGCCAACAATTGTTCTAACTCAAGTGAAAATTCACACCAAAAGGCATTAAGGAGCATTTTATTTCTGGCTAGCACTTTCGACGTAGATATGAACGTCATCCTCAGGCAGTAATTAAAAACAAACAGATTTCAAATGGGATTTTAATTTAAACAATAACGGCATTGGCTATTTGGAACATAACATTAGGAATAAGTAAGTTTAAAACATTTGAAATGCGTAAAATTCGACACGTATGCACCTTAACACACATAGAATGCGGGTAAATGCATTATTCATTTGGAACAACAGCCATAAGAACAAGTAAAATTAAACATTAACTTGAAACACACACAACATCGCTGCACATGCGCCTTAACTCACAGTGAAGGTGGGGTATATTCAGAACTAATGTTGATGTTTTTTAAATGCTTGTACAAACTAATCTAAACCTCGGGCAATTCGAAGGTGGTGGAGTTGCAAGGAGAGAACAGCGTGGTGAGGAGGGCCCACTCAAGGTCCCCTTCCTCAATGCCTGAGTAGCATCACCTGGTTCCAAAGTGGCGTGTGATGGTGCTGCACTACCAACTTGAATAGTTCGGTATCACAATTTCCCACCGTGACAAAATGTTAAGTGGTCAGATAGGCGGTTGGCCAGCATTCTGGTGGTTGCGCCTATATAGCAGGTGTATAGTCCTGATATTGTGTTTTGTAAGGGAATGGAATATACACCTGATTTTTCCAGGATGGAAACCGCATCCCTGTCATTACACAAGTCTTGTCAAACTTGGGCATGGGACTATGGGTTAGAGAAATGCATTTTGCCTAAATATCCAGCAAATCTGGGCAGTCAGGAGGCCACAAAATGGGAGGGAAGGATGGAGTACCGTCCAGTCCCTTGGCCAGAGCAAAGTAGTAGCAGAGAAGAGGGACTGCCAAATACAACCCACACAGCAGTGTGCATGGTCTCTAGTCAATGTTGATAAGGTATTGTGTGAAAGGTACTAAAAAGGACCTGATTACGGGGGCTATGACTGTGTTAACATACTGTTGTGGCTGGTAGGCCACGATGGGTATTATGGGAGAATATTACCAAACTTGTGGAAGACAGAGAACACCAAATTTCCCTGGGGTTTGGAGATGCGCAGGTCTAAAAGGGTGATTTTCCCCCAATTTCTTTTTTTAAGGTGAAATTGATGAATGAGTATACACTGGCAAGATATTGTTCTAATGCCAGGAAAGAGTCCTCCGTGCCCTGCCACATCAAAAGAATGTTGCAACGCCCCCATCCTCAAATTTCCCAAGGTTTGGATTAGTTTGTACAAACATTTAAAAAACATCAACATTAGTTCTGCATCTACCCCAATCTTCACTGTGAGTTAAGACACATGTATGTCAATGTTACACGTGTTTCAAGTTAATGTTTAATTTTACTTATTCTTATGGTTGTTGTTCCAAACAATCAATGCTTTTACCGAATTCTGTGTGTGTTAAGACACATGCATGATGTTACACATTTCAAATTAATAAGTAAGTAAGTTTAAAAAAATGTTATTTTATGTTCCAAACGGCCAATACTGTTATTATTTAAATTAAAACCAGTTCAAAATCTGTTCATTTTTAATTACTGCCTGAGGACGACATTCATATATACATCGGAAGCACTAGCTGGAAATAAAATGTTCTTTAAAACGCTCCTTAACACCTTTGGTGTGAATTTTAATAGATTTATCTAAACTATATTTATTGTTCAGAAATATGTAATTTGATGATAATTACTTATTAGTCAATATTTTAGGTCTTAGTATGATAATACAGTAATCAGATTGACTCATAACAGTATATTAAAAGAAAAAATTTGAAGAGAACAAACAGTTATAATGGAATTTTTTTTTTTAGTTAAATTTCTAAAACAGTATTATAAGCTCTATTTCCAACTCTCATATCTATTTTTCAATGACTATAGACAAGAATATATTATACTGTTGTGTTGAAAATGTCTTGTCAATGCATAAAGTGCCACATGGTCTACTTGCAATAAATACTTGATATTCAGTAGATCAAACTTTGCTTAATTTTTAGTTTTCCTTTAACAACAGAGTACGGTTAGAAAAATACATTTTCAGTCCTGTTAAAGGGCAATCTTCAAATGCAAAGATGGTCCATCAAAAATGTTAGTGTTTCTCCAGCTTTACTCACTGTTAAAAGGTTTATTACTTTGTTAAATTAACTAACGAAACTAGTTTTACTTTATCTTTTTTCAATTTAATGACATAGTTTTGAAAAATTTAAATACTGAATACAGGATTACTGATGTTGGATATTAAGCATAGAGTTTTTTATTACAAATCAAAATAACAAGTTATATTTTTTACTGAGAACATTATTATGCCAACTTTTCTGAGATTATTATTCTTATAAAAAGAAAAAAGAAAGATTCAATATTCATTGAAACTTAAATCAGAAGTTTTATGGCTGAAAAGCATTTTTAGAAATGTTTTTATTTCTTGTACCTCCTTTTTTGATAGAATATTACATTTTGAAAATAAATGATTATTAATGAAATTTTCTGCTATTTTTTCAAGAATTTAAAGCAAACAATTATTTCAATGATTCTATTAATTTTAGAGATTTATACAGTCAGACCTGTCTATAATGGAACCTGTCCAATGCGGAAACAAAAAGGAAATTTGGGCCGTATACAGAAAAATCGGTATCTTTATCAATTTAACACAAATTTAACAAGATTACAAGCCTAGCACGTATTATATAAATCATAAAAAAGTAAAAAATTACACATGCAAACAGAATAGCAAAATATAACTACTGTATTACAGTAATTTTATTGAGATTTCAACAAAGTTTTTAGATACTTTTATTAACATAAATAGGTGTTAAATTTCACAACTTATAATTACAACACATTATTTCTGATGTGAAATTGTATTCTTTGTTTTTGAAGCTTATTTTAAATTTTTTACACCACATTTTGTTTGAATAAAATCAAGTCAAAATGTCTGCAGGTAAAATGCACATCGGGAATATTATGGATGCTTTTTAAGTTTCATGAAGGATATCATGCTATACAAATAGTAAAAAATACTTGTACCGTGTATGAGGAAGAAGCTTCTGAACTCTAAATGTGTCAGTGGTTTTGAAAGTTTCGTTTGGGAAATTTTGAACTAAAGGATACAAAACATACAAGCTGTTGAAGAGAAATTGTGGGAAGAAATTGTTAAAGATTGATGAACAACAACATGTAAATTTGCAACAAATCTTAGTATGTTGCATACACACATTGTTGAAACATTACATCCACTTGAAATGGCTGTAAATCATGCTGATCATTGTGTTCCACACGCAGTTTGTTTCTTTCACTTATGAAAAAACAACTGAATTGAGTATAATTTTGTTGAATGAAAGTATGCAGCCGTAAGCTTTTATTTTATTTTTAAACTGGTTACTCATTTTTATATTAGAGAATTTTTTTTACAGATGAATGAAAACTTAAAGTTAAAATAAAAATATTTGTTATTCACCAAAAGTTTGTTCTAGTGGGTGGTGATTGTTCAGTCGAGTACTGAGGTACAACTGTATTTGATTAATGCAATTTTGATATACACAGTTACATCAAGAAATTTATTAAATTGCATTAAATAAGGGATACCTATATGTAGTGGACACCAATCTACTATGGAGGAGCCATTTAGTTCCTTGGGGTTCCATTATAGACAAGTTTGGTTCATGTTCATTTTCTTATACAGACAAACTACCAAAATTACACCAATAAATTAAAAAGCTCATAAATTAAGTGTCAAGCTACTTAATTCGCTGATATATTCCTAACTGAAATAATAAAAATTTATAAAAATCTTGAAAATATTTAATATGAAATATTATGAAATGCAACTGATTTTTCACAAATGATATTTCTTAAAACCAGAATGCTTTTTCTAGACTATCTTCATGTTGCAAAAATGAAAACGACATTACGTATAGTTTCAACTTGATTTGGTACATACTGATTCCAATTTGAAACATCTAAGTAATCAATACAAAGAAGTTAGAAAGCTTGTAAGCATACCTGATGATTATCAACTTGAAAATTGTAATTTAATGTATTTGATAAAGTTTCAGATTTATCATCCAATGTAAGATATTCAAACACGTCCTTTTCAATCACCTCAGTATACATCACCGATTGCTTCCTTTCATCCAGTAACTTAAGTGCAAATCACACACAATAAAATATATTAGTTTTATAAAACAAAATTATCACTCTTACGTGATTTTTTAAAATTTAAATAATGAATATTACCTCAAGTGCAGATTCCAGAAAACATGCTTCCGGGACATCTTTATCCTTTAACAACTGAGTCCTCAGTTCGTTAAATTCTCTATTTATAATCTTTTCAACATCGCCTCTTGACACAGTAAGTAATTTTTGGAAACAGCTCGCTTCTTTATGAAAAAATTACTACTACGTTAACAATTTAAAAGCTGATAATAAATTTCATATGTACTAAAAGTGCACACTTACCATCGTTGAGAGAAATTGGATTTTCTGATATCGAGAACCGATTGGCAGGCTTAGAAATGACGGATCCACGTTTACGCTTCATAAGACACATAGTGATGTTGTCTCCGACAGAGTAAGTTGTTTTAGATGTTGATACAACACTATTGAATTTTAATTGAAGTATAATAAATTGATATTTTATAAAATCAAAAATAAAATTTAAACACAAAATTAAGCAAAAATTCACAAAAATTCTTTAAAATGGTAACAGTTAAAATTTAGACAAAAATTTATTATTTTCCTGTCATAATTTTTAATGTTTAGCATGGCAGTTTTCTGCCATACTAAATGTACTATGTTGTTAAGAAATTGTTAAACACAGATACATGAACAATCAGCTGTAATTACATCTTGATCCTGGTCTGGAATAGTATTAAGCACTGGTATATAAGCCAAGTAAGATCAATCCACCATAATAATAAAGCAAATAACATTCCAAGTTATAAATAATTGAATACATTTTAAAATAAATATTCATAGATTTGAATATTTGAAATTACATATTGAAGTTTTAGATACTTTAGATAGAAGTTTTAGAAGTACTGATATTTAATATTTGTGAATTTAGATTTGTTCCATTTGGAAGTTCAAAATTTCTAATGATTTGTTTGTTTGATCAGTTTATTTACTATTTGTCAATTTATGATATGTCTTAAACGACAGTTTTAAGAAATTGTTTATTTATAAAATTAGATAAAGAATACATTATTTGAATAATTTTTTTCATACTGATCTTAATACAAACACTAGTTTATGCTAATATTTAAACAAATATTTTCAAATGTTATTATTCATTGTTATTATGCAAGCAGGAAGGGAAGCCAATAGGCTAAATGTACTGTACTTTGATCTATAAGGTCTATTGTGCATCCTGCAAGAGATTACTTTAGAAGTCCCATCTTGTTAAAAATAGCAGCCTTCCAAAAGAAAGCCAAGAGACTCACAAGGGCTCAACAAAGTGGAACCTGGACGAATGTGTCTGCCTGATCAAAGATCTGTACTCCACAAACTAGATGTAGATGAGTCTCCTCGGTAGATCTACATAAATGACAAGAGGCTGAGGAGGAAAGTTTCGGTTAGTACAGATGCTTATGAAAGTGATCAAAGCCAGTCACAACGTTGACCAAAAGACTAATGCAATGCAATTCCTGTTGAAAGCCAAGCGATTTCTCATGCCCAAGTATTTTCTAACAAACAAAAGTTCAGAAAATTCTGAAAAGCTTGAATGTAGAATTTATAGTTTGTTCACATAATTATGGATAAGAATATACTCAAAAAGAAAATTTAATTTTTTGAAAAAAATTTTGCAAATTAATTTTAGGTTAACATATCTAANTTTTTTAAGAAAAATACTGTATAATCAAGAAGACTCAAGCAGCTAAAGGAGTAACAAAAATCACATATGAGAAATAAAGAACATCGAAGAGTTCGTAATGGAACCTTAAACGGATCTGACGACAGAAGAACGCCAAGAACTCTTGAATGAAGAACACCAAGAAACTCGGCGAGATATGTTTTCTTCTGAAAATGCGGACTTATGCCGATATCTGCTATTAAAGATCTTGTAAAGAAGTGGGATGATGTCAGAACAACGATCTTAAAATGGCATCCAAACCAGGTTGAGGCTTGGGGATTTCTACAATTGCAATGCTATTAATTACTTACGAAAAATCCTGAAGAAGAGAGAAAAGCAATCGACATTAGACAGATTCTTTAACCCTTTCAAACTGAAAAAACATGACTTATTAGTCATGTTTCTTTAGTTTAACGCAAGACTGTGTACGTATGTATTTTTATTATTTCATATAAATAAACGTAGTAAGAAAGTATAGCCTATATTTTTTATTTTGGGGAGTCTCCAGAACGAATTAATTAAATTCCCATTAAAACCTATGGTAAATCGATAATTGGTTAATGAACAATTCGGATAGCGAACAAAGTCTTGGAACGGATTATGTTCGTTAACCGATCACCCACTGTATTCCTACATTCCTTTGTAAATACCGGTTTGAGTTTAGAACATAACTTGATTTACAGTTTATTCAGAGATTATAGCACACTTGAAATGCCCATTTACGCGCGTATATTTGAAAATCCGAATATGGTCCATCCCCAATTATTCAAGATTTTTGATGCATCACCATAATATATTATATAAATGGTACAAAATCATACAAAAGACAAAGTTAAAAGTCATCAGTTAAAGCATTGCATAAGACTCAACACAAAAAAAAAAAAATTGGTAGAAGTTACATTCCGATTATTTGTTTATATATTTATAAACGCAAGTTAATTAAAAGTAACTTCTACGGGAAAAAATTGTCAGAAAATCTAAAAATAAAACTTGGATTCATCTTGTAGTCACAATACCAAAAAAAGCATCATCATCATCATCATCCAAAATAACACACACTATCATCTAAGATATTTATTTTGATGCTCATGCATCATCACCCTCACCATCAAAAATAATACACATTGTGTAATATTTATTTTGATGCTCAATCATCATCCTCAACATCCAAAGTAACACACATAATTGTTTAAGATATATTATTTTGAAATTTAATCATCCTCATCCTCGTCCTCCAAAATAATACACATCATTGTCTATGATATATTATTTTGATGCTCACTCAACATCCTCATCATCCAAAGTAATACACATAATTGTTTAAGATATATTTTAATGCTCAAGCATCATCATCATCATCAATGTACTTAGGACAAATAATGTACAGTGTATTATTATTATGAATGATATTTGGGTATTGTATAACACATTAAATAAAATTTCATTTAATACTGCTCTAATCATCCTGTAAACAACAAATTAATGATTTTACTCATGGAAATTAAGTGTATTTACCTAAATTAATTCAAAAAGGAAGGCACTAATTCCCCATAATGGCAGAAATTCTCAAGTTTAACCCATTAAAATCAATGTAAACAAATGAATAATTTATGGAGTTAAGAGTTATTATTGATTTCGCGTGACTTAATTTAAGCTTTTTTAAATATTTTTAATCAATTCGGACACCGAACAAACTCACCTGACTCTATTTAAACTTAATTAAAATCCTATCGCATCCAATCGAAGCCATTCGTAACGATAATGAAAACTTTTCATTTTGTGTGTTATTCATTCATTCAAAATGGAGGACTGCTTTTAGTCAAATGCGATTTTGGTCGTCTGTCACGCGACTTAACGAAATTTTAACGTCTTCTTATAACTTATAAATTATTATTGTTTTATTGCGAGTATTATTAATCATAAATTTGCGCTTTAAAAATTATTAATGTTATTTTTCTAAAATTTATTAATTGGCGGCGTGGCGTCACTTCCGGCGTAGT